GAAATTGCTGCTATTATAGCAGGTGATGACAATAATCCATCTATCTAATGTATGCAATCATGATATTATTTTACATTCACATGATAATATAGCAAACTCATCAATCTACACACCATAGCTCCCTTTTGCAAGAGATCATAGTTATATGACTTCTGCCTCAATATTTCGTCTAATTAAGTAGTATTGTATTAGAGCTGTGTGGCAGTGGATTAAATATAGAACAACAAGAGTCACATTAACATACCAAAAAAGCCTCTGGTTTTGGGTGGTATCAAGGCTTGGTTGTTTCCACCATATTGCTGACACCACCCTAATACTAACCAAAACTTTGCAACACCCTCTGACATTTTTTCGGCCTACAAAAAAAAATATTCAATGAGTTTTATTATTATACTTATTTCAATAATAATTAAAGGTAGGATTTCTTACCTCAAAGTCAACAAGCAGCTTTTGTCTTTTTGTATCATCAAATACCTGCTTGATGGTATTTTCGTAAAATGTATGCTCATTGTTATAGTCTAGCTCTTGCGCCACCATGGCAGGTCTCTTTCTCTTTAAAAACGACAGCAAGCTCCATTGTTCAAGTGGTCTGCTAAAATATGTTGTACCGGAATGTGGAGCATTTGATACAGACAACATGTTAACATGTGTAAATATTTCATCGAACAACATTACTTTCTTTATATTTCACATTGGTTTTTTTTTTTTCCAAAGTACAATCACCAATCAGCTTCATGGCCCAAAATCGTTGAAGATTTTCAGCTTTATTTTCATTCTGAAACAGGGATTGCAAGTGTTATTATTATACGTTTTTTATTTTTGATGTATGCATTCACTGATGATTAACTTGTTCTACCGAATTCAATATAAACTAAATAATATTATAAAAGTAACAGTAAATTATAAACCAGTCATTATAATTACTATAAGCATATTACTATTACTATTAGTATTTCATTGAATAGTCGCAGCCACAGCCATGTCACGCACTACAGTAGCAAGTCTGTGTTTATTGATGAAACCACAGTGTTTCAAATTTGGGTGATGATTATAGCGATAAGATCTATTTTTGTTGTACCACCAACTGATCAAAGTTTGCACAAACGCAGATTTATAAATTGATGGAGTCTTAGCTCAAATAACGTAACATATCGCTGCGTATATCGACTTACATTGGACATAAAAAACTTAATATTGAGTTTCGAATACCTTAAATTACAATAACAAAAATGAGTGCTTCCTACATGGATATCGAAGTATTTAACAAATATTGAGGAAAACGTTGAAGACTATTTTTACGGATATGCTGAAGAGGATACAAATAATCAATTCTTAAATGACCGTGACAACATGGAGATAGATTGGATCGAAATTAATTTAGAGCAACTTGGTTCTATGAGTGAGCCATTTTCAACGATGCATGATAAACAGGAAGTAGTAATTGAAGAGGTCTCTGTGCCAAATGCGGCCATTACCCCATGTGTAATTATAAATATAATTGAAGGGGAATTTAGATGCTGCAATGGCATGACGGAGTTAAGACCACTGAAACAATTAGCAGGAACATGGGAGGTCGATAAAGATGCAGTTGAAGATGCTAATAAAAGAGCTCATAGACCTGAAGTATTAGTATGCCAAACTCATTATATGTTCGACACTAAACATCATGTAGGTGTAAAAGAAATTCATTCAATTGACAAGAGTGCTGTCCATCATTGACAAAATGTTTTTTTAGCTGTGGTGATGGTTGCTTACTACATTCACGTGAAATCAATAAGCGCACGGTTCAAGCACCTTGTGCCAGCCTTCATTGTCCTGCACTTTCTGAACTATTTGACATGCAAGAAGGTCCTTCAAACTCGCGTATACATTATATTTGCTCAGATTGTTTTCAGCAAAACGGTGGACATCTGTATGAAAGAGCTTGTAAACACACAGTATCATTCATGAATCTGGGAAAGCATAATAATGATGAAAGTTTGGCCCTTAAACATTATGGGAATTGGTTGGCATCAATGGCAGAGTTAGGCCATCAACCATTGCAAGGCAACTCTTGTTACTGCTAACTCAAACAATGCTCAAGAATGAAAATTTAAGGAATGCAAGCCAGTTGGAAGTGGAAACAGGAAAACTGCCAAGTGATTGTATGTCAAGGCTGCATTAAAACTAGAGGAGTTAATTTAAAAGACCTAATAAAAAAAAACTTTATGTAAAAACTTCAGAGGAGACATCTATAATAGTAATAGGACAAAATTTAGGCAAAGAAATCCTTTCATCCCATTCTAATTCAGAGATTAAGCAAAAATATAAATCAATTGGAAAACTCAAGCTCTTATGAAGACTATTTTAATAAAATATCCAATGCACTTACAAGCTTCTTCCAAGCTCTTATTACAACATTATATGAAAGGAAATTGGCAGTTTAAGTTGTTAACAGAAAGAGGAAGGGGCATGGTCTTACCTCAAAAATACTTGACATAAGTCAGATAAAAAGATAACCACATTGTTCACTTCTATGTTATTAACCATTGCTTTCCCTGGGATGAAATTTTGGCTCACACATATTATGTCATCTCTATGCCAAAAACCCAAACTACTACCATATTTGCAAAACATTCTTTATACAACAAGTGTTATTGCTTACACTAAGTGGCATGAGAATCATATTGAGTATGACAGGATGATTCATGCAGATCCAACAGTGAAAATAATCAGAGGACCAAACATTTTTAATTTGGCTGTAATTGACAATATAGATTTTGCAACTAATACTCATGGGCCATATTTATGATACAGCATGACAAACTTCACATGCAACATTACAAATGTTATTTCAATTCACTCTTACTATTTCTCTTGATTATGATAGTATGACTGGAGATGAATCTGCCAGTCAATTATCATTACAATCTGGAGAGTCACTATTCACTGATAATCTTCTAACAATGTATAAAAATACATTTAATTCAATGCTGGAGAATTTTATAGATAAGTTTGATGTGCTCAGAAATTATCAAGAAAGTACCTGCAGGTTGTCATATGAGCAACCAAATGTTGTAATATTGGAACCTGGTAAGACACCAAACTGATAATAATGTTCAGGCTGGGATAAGGGTAGAGTTAATATTAAGCAATATCAGAGAAATTATAATAGTCAGTAAAAAAGAACTGAACAATAGTTATAGAAAGTCTTTATTATATTATATTAATTTTAGTATTAATAAATAATGATAACAACATCACTATTACTATGTGGTGTTTGCTTTCACTGTATCATCATCTAATAATAATAGTGTCCAATGAAGGGAGCCTGCACAACCTGGCAGGTTGTGCAACATGGTAGGTAAATTCCCGATTATCACGAGCTTTTTTAATGGTAAACTAGTGTGTAACCCATCACTTCGTTGACGGTGTAGTAATCTATATATAATAAAGGGTATAAATGTAAAGTATAAAATAACAAAAAAAAAGGTAGGGTAAGTATAATAAAATCTAAAGAAAAGATGTTTTTATATGTATAAAAAATGTAAAGAAAAAACACACACAAAAAAAATTACAGAAAAAACACACTTGTGGAAAAATATAATAATAAGCTATAATAAAGTGTAATAAGAAGAGATTGACAATTATACAATACATCTGAGTTTCCAAGAATAACCTGTAGAAAAATATGAGGAAAGCATCAGTAAAGGATAAATAAAGTACAGAAAAGAGAAAAAACTAAAAGAGAAGGTTATAATATATTAGAATGGCTAGAAAAAAAGAAAACCAAGTTAATAAATGAAGGAATAAGAAAGTAAAAAAAAGTATTATGACTGTAATACTTCTGGGTATACAATATTTTGAGTATATCCAGCATTTGCATGTTGTCCTATTGTTAGTATCTTAAGATTTGTTTAGATGTTGTCCTTGGAGCAAGCAACATAAAGCTGGCCATGAGAAAATACAGGTGTTAGTGTGGTGTGGGCAGATAAATTCTAACATTTGGCCCTGTGTTCAGATATACACTGTAAACCTCCCTCATGTAATATATATAATGATTTGAATCTTTATAATTAATGCACTACTATTTGACTTACAGGTTGGTGACAACTGTCTGTGGTCAGGAGAAGTGGTTGAGAAAGTGTTATTGAAGATCATGATTTATTAGGTCCAAACACCTATTACAATCATGAACTGTTCTCCAATATACTTTATTTACATGATAGCATACAGGCATATTTTATAAATGAAGACATCCAATTTTTAAAGGATAGTCAAGATGTCTGTAGACATGCATTAACTCAATCACAGCTGTCTTACATCCAGCACTTGCTGGGATCAAGGAGTGGGATCCAAGCTCACCGTTTCGACCTTCTACTTCGTCAGACTATTGGCACTGATGCCACCACCCTTGTTGCAAACACTCCTGACATCATAACCCCCGCCACACATGAATATCCTGTTGGACTTGCACCATACATTATGAAAGTTGTAGATGGGTTGTATGTGTCTGCTACATCTTAGTCTGCTTTTTTTTTTTTGCATATTAATATCCATATGGACAACTTTAATAAGCAAATTAATGTTCATGTCAATAAAAACGAAAACAAGAGGCCATTAGTTTATGAAACCGTGTTTTGAAGTCATAGTTTTTTTCCTTTTTGAAGTTTATACAGTATTACTATGGATCGGTAAAAAACCTTGCCGGTAGTTCATCTAACCGTTTCTTTAATGCTTCATTTTTCAGACAACGATTGCTGATTAAAGTTTTCTATCATCACTCCTTTTCAAAAAGCACTCCAGTGCCGCATCCTGACAAGGATACCCGACCCCATCCATAATCGGAAAACCTTTTCAAATGAATCATGAGCTAGAAACTCGTTACTGTCATTAGAGAGTTCAAATCTAAAAACGAAGTCATTTATTTAGTAAGTCGTTTAATAAAAGACTCTTTTAACAGTGATCTACTCTCATATAAGTTAGAATCAAGTAATCGTTCAGGTCTTTTTCTACTGATGCATGTCGCTAGCTTTAATCCTTTTTGGTCTCGTATCGTATTAACTGATTTTTGTGAATAGGTAAAGCAAGTCTTTGCTTCTTGTTTCCAGCTCCTAATAAAAGGAAGCATAAACTCCATTTAAGAGAGAACCGCATTGTAAAGATCTCGTACTCAAATTTTTGAAATCGCATGCCAACAAGATCGGCTGACAGACTATTTAGGAAAATATTGTTGAACCAGATGAGAATAAAATAATTGAGTTGAAGTAGTGTGAAAAAAGAGAAAGCCGCATTTTAATAGATCTCAGCTAATATGCAAGCGACTTCAAATCTTTATAATTCTACTGAATTTATAAAGAAATTAGCTCATAAATAAAAGAGAAATACACGTAATAATACCACTAGCGGTAGGTAGATTCAGAGTCCCATTATCTACAATCTCAAAATTTAGTTTTAGTTATATAATATTCAAAGGTAAAGATTGTCAAACTGCTCGAGAGCAGGCTAAGCAGGCAACTAATTCAGACAAAATAGTTAATCTGAAAAAGAAAAAAAAAATCAACAAGATATTTATTCCATTATTATTATAATCGATCAGGGACCGGAAACATGTACGGACTCATAATATCAGTCAATTGAAATAAGCAGGTGAAGAATGCGCAAAATGTTTCGTGTTTTCGATATCGTGAGCTCACCACCTCTCCGCTTTCTGCTTCTACCTAATTTCAGTATCAGCATACGCAGTCGCAGTATAAGTACCGGAATTATACGAATCAACAGGATTATAGTGATCAGAAGAATAATCGTGAAAATTAGAATTAGACGACCACGTTCCAGAATATGGCCTCCGAAATCTTCTATTTCTATAACTACGATAAAATATTTTAATTAGTTTTAAGAGATTATGCATTACATACGTTCATTAATAAATACTATCTTATTATTATCTGAACAACGGATCCCATTGCCCGATACCCTCATCACTAGTGATCCTACAACCGACCTTGTTCGTCTGCGTGTTTCGCCCGCCTGTCTTCCAAAGAGATAGCCAAACAAACCGCCGACCCCAGTGCCTGTCCAGAATCCAGGTGTCCCTCGAATAAAGTCGGAAAATCCTGGTTGATATAAAGAGAATCAATGTGTAAGCAAGTGGTATAATCGTAAGACATAGTACGTGAAAATGACCATGGTTAAAATTATTGCTACAATTTCGTCCATTCCCACAATTGTACCTACCCGCACCGCTGGCTGGAGAAGGGCCTCCATCTCCGGCTGGTTGGTTGTTGCTGTTATCATTATTACTGTTGGATCTTTGCGGAGTACTAACAATAGATTAGTTTAGACATGGTGTCACTACTTTCTCTTGACGACGGCCGATGATATATTATAAGCCTTTACCTGGGAACGGAGGAATTATTAAAACCACCTCTTCTTACTGCCAATATAAAGTTATACGCAATAAAAGCGAGAACACAAAAGAATAGTAGGCCGAACATGTAACCAAACATTTCTGGAATGTAGGATAAAGCCAAGGGTTATTCCCGTGCAATTTGGTTTAAAAACGCGTATATGATTTCCATAACATCATGCAAGTCATGTAAATGGTACGCACGGTTAGACTGAGAATAGCCATACGAGTCGTAAAACCGATCGCTTTTCTTTGACCCGTCAATGTACGACAGAGAATATTGCAGTCCACAACTTCCTATAATACGTCAATGGTTAGTTAGCTCATTATAACATAACGCCCGCCCTTTATAGACTATAATGGTGTTCACCTTTGAGTACGTATGGATCTCCAGGATAATCGTAACCTATATAACGGCAATCACACTCGCTCATCGTAACTTTAAAATCGTGGTGATGGCACTTAACGTCACATTCCTTACCTTCACAACTTACAGCAACCCTCCCAAATCCGAGATGCCTTGGTAATGTTGCTTGACACTTCCATTGTGGATGATATCCATATGTACCGACATTCGAACATGTTATAGAGGCTAGTCAAAGAAAAGTTAGTCATGACGTAGAAACACGATCGGTGGTTGGGAAGAGAAAAATCAAACTCACTTGGTACAAATTCACCGCACGCTTTTCCATCCACGCATGACATTTGTGGAACTGTGTATAAATACGACAGGTTAATTGACTATAATAATGAGACGTTTTCTTAACTAGAGACTGTAAATCAACACAAACTTGGAGCGGTTCGTCGTCCTGCTGTCCGTTCGCCACGGTAAAAGGTTAACGAATTTACGTCATTCAATAACACCTTTTCATGCCATGACTCTACTTCACGAGCACACAAGTATAAAAAGAATAGCTTTAGGAGAATGTTCCAATTCATCGAGTGAAGCCAGTGAATAGAATGAGGCCTCTTGCGGAGTAGTTATGGTGAACATCACAGTCTTTATTATTGTCTTTTAGCCGACTACTGTTTTAATGACACGATTTGCAGATTTGCGGACTATTCCCAGTAAACGCCACATTTTGTCCTACACGTTTTTGTAAAATGACACGTATTAAAGATTGCCAATTCAAACGTATTTGTGTTTCTTCGAGGAGTGCTATTTCATTTACACATTAAGCAGTTGATAGTTTATTCTGTCCTATAAATAGTTTGGGATATACGATTCGCAAGTTTAGCCACAATGAACTAATTCATGCATCATATAATTATAATTACGAGTATACAATAACGATTTGACAATGTCTCAGTGTCAAAGCTGAGATGTAACTGAGGATGGGATACAAGTAGGAGAGATGCATGAATGTAGTTTTTAGTCACCGACACCAAATTGCGTCAATAGAAATCTTATCGCCAACAAATTTATATGTGAAGAAAGGGTTGAAATTCTCATTTGCGCAAATCGATACCTGACTACGTTAACGCCATTGCTAAATGTTTCAAACGACATAATAATCTACACAGTTTCGTGAAACACTTAAATTAACAAAGCCATGCCATCATAGAATTTTTCACAAAATCACGCGTTTGTCTTATCAATATTCTTTCAATTGATTGGTTGACGAGTTATGTAAAGGCGTTTACTATTGTCATAAATTGTTTAAGGGAAGAAAACCTCCTATTACTATTTAAAACTCTGGCTATTGTCATCATAACAATAAATTGTTTAAGAGAAGAAAACCCCTTATTATTATTATTATTATTACTATTTAAAACTTATAAGAGTCGACTATTGAAGTAGAATCATGTGATAGTGTATTGACATCGCTATGATTGGCTGTCGCGATTTATTGTTTCCCCCAACAGATCATATAAAAATCTCTTTATAAGCACACCATGTTTGAGGACTGCTTGACTATAGAGAGGGTTGACTAATACCATCAAAATGTATGAGGCGCGCTGTAGCGAAACAAAATTACAAACGCGCATGAAACCAAACAGTTTTCGCGAGGATTTGGTCGAAGGCACCAACGGAATAATGAATAACTCTTACGGTGGAACCTTTCTTCCATACACAAACGTTCTCTCTCTCTTCCTCATAAACACTCTCCCCCTTTCGCCTCGCGGATGTCCTACGGAACGAACCCGCAGCACGGTCTCAATAGGTTGGGAACTCGAACTCCGAGTGTTCGAGAGACTCTACGGAGTAGGAATCTGGGTTCACATGCCTAGGTGAGTAAATTTGTTGAGCGGTTTATAGGTGTAAATAAGAGGTTCAGAAGCACAGTGGGTGTAAATATATCGACCTCTTTACCAAAACGCTGCCAGAAATACGGTTGTGGTGGATAGGATACATTAAAAAGCGCTTGACTATACAGTAATAGTGGCTAGCTAGCTGTGAACAAATGTTCTTCTCTGGTCTTGATAATAATGACAAAAGGACACATATTAATATTCCTTATTTTACTAGAAACTCTAACGGCGGAGATGATGGCATGGATATCATCGGCTTATATCTAAGAGCCGTAGTTGTTATCCAGTGCAAGAATCACAGACGGGCAATTAGTAAGTATTAATTTTGTATCACATTAATATATAACTTTACAAATAACTAAGCTGTGAATGGTCTATTGTAGCACCGTCTGTAGTGCGGGAGTTGGAAAGTGCTCTTTTTATACACAAAGGCACTCTCTCCCTCATAAACACTCCCCCCCTTCCTTTCACAGGTCGGACTCGAAATGCCTCGCGGAACCCGCAGCAC